CTCTCTCTCTCTCTCTCTCTCTCTCTCTCTCTCTCTCTCTCTCTCTCTCTCTCTCTCTCTTTCTTTCCCTGTGTCTTTGATACATGATGAATGCAGACATTAGTTCCACCTGCTGATAAGGATCTTGGCAGTCAACCGTAGGACAATAAAAACAAACTGGAAATTAATGGCTGGCACAGAGACCATTCAATCACCTAGTTTGTTGATATGGACCATTGCCAGCTCAAAAGCTTTGCTGATAGCCAACGAAGTCTACCTGCACAGTAAAATGAGCAATAAAATGTGTTACAACTGGATTTCTTAGGAAATTCCAGGGAGGAAACTGCAAAAATCTCTGGTAGGCATTTGCTGTTGGGTTGGTGCTCAGAATGTTGTCCTTCCACCTCCTTCCTTGTTTCCTATCTGTGAAAGTTATCAGGGTTTTTCATTACAGGTTGTCTACAACTTACGACCACAAATTAAGACCAGTATTTTCATGCTAAGCAAAGTGGTTATACCTTAAACCTCTCTCTCTCTCTCTCTCTCACACACACACACACATACACCTTGTCCCAAAGGTGCTTCTTGATTTTTCTTTGAAGATGTTTTCCTTCTCATCCAAGAAGCTTCTTCAGCTCCGACTGGAAGGATTTACACTCCTTGCAGACAGCTGGTCATTTGCATCCTTTTGGAGGGTTGTTGAGGCCACTTGGAGGTTTCTCTGTGTCCTCATGGTCACCTGAGTGGTGTCAAAGTTCCCACAGTCTGCAATATTTCTGTGAAAATCCATTCACGCTCCCACACCATTCGAACGGTGTTCATCCCAAAGAGCATGGCTAAAAATCTATGGAGATTCTCAGTCCTCCAGGTGATGGTTGTCCCAAAGGTGCTTTTTCAGGAGGCAACTGGACTTTCTTGTTTTTTCTTTGAAGACGTTTCCCTTCTCATCCAGGAAGCTTCTTCAGCTCTGACTGGATGACTGGTGCCTTTTCAAAAGGCAATTGGAGTTTCTTTGGTTATTTTCCTTGAAAACGTCACACTTCTCATCTATGAAGGTGAACTGAATGGAGTGAAGTCAGAACTCAGAAAGCTTCTTGGATAAAAAGCAAAATGTTTTCAAAGATTTTTTTTTTTTTAAAAAAAGTGCAGTTGCCTTTTGGAAAAGCACCTCTGAGATTCCCTAAACCTGGTTCAGAATTTGGAAAAAGATTTGTGCTGTTCGGTTGTTTTGTAGAAGAAAGGATCTCAGTTTGGTGTTTGATTCAGGAGTGGCGATAGCAGTCTTGGAAACCTACCACAAGACTCCAGAATTGGATTTGAGAAGAAAAGAAAAGACCTGATGGGATTCAGCCAAACAAAAGATCTTTGAAAGGAATTGTTCTGATCAAGGCTGATTGAGACACTAACAAACAAACATTAGTCCACAAACCCTTTTTTCTTTATTTCAACAGCTGTGAATTTTAGTCATTCACAGCCTGTAATGAGTCTCCAACAGTTTGTAAATAGTCCCATGGAAGTCTGCCAAAGTCCTTCAGGATAAATCTGATAAGCACGCACCTTTATCTTCCTTATAATGCTGCCAATGACTACATTTCTAATTA